CTGGTCCAGTTGGTCGCCTGCCTCGCTTTCCTGTGCCTGATCCCAGTCTGTCGGTACATACGCAGTTCCCCGGGGGCAGTATGTCACCAGCTGAGAGGAACGCCAACTCTTATTTCTCCCCGGTAGCCGAAACCCCATCGACCAGGTCCAGTTCGCAGTCCACCGGCTACTTTAGCAGCCGACAGGCCACGCCTACCACCAACTGGAGCGAAGACCACCCTCGCTACACGGCCCCTGCCTTGTCTCGAGCTACGTCCAGGGATGGTCCCAACTCCAACCCCTATTTCAACGGCGCGTCGAATGGACGAAGTGCTCAGCGTCCCTCGCTACCTCCCATGTCAGGAGGTTCCGCCCAGGCAGCTAATGGCATGGCACAGCGGATGCGGTCCGCTAGTAGTCCCGATATTCACAACGCCGAGCTCCGTCGGTATATGCAGTCGATGGAGACTGTTCCTGTCCCACCTATTCCCGCTCATATGGCCAGCATGAAGGCGCCAGTCAACCGCAGCCAGAACAACTCCCCCACCTCCAATACTCAACTTCCCATTCGAAACGCCAACCACCTTAGCAACTCGCAACATGTCTCTCCCACCCATTTCAATGAGCCTCAATATGGTGATCACCGCCCCAACACGTCAGCTACCGATCAGCCAACCTCCCCCCTGAGCTATGAGCCCGACGAGGAGCCACTCATGCCCACACAGCTTAAGGTGAAGGTCAACTTTGATGATAATTACGTTACGTTGGTTATTGCAAGCAACATCATGTTCCGTTCCCTGATCGACCGAGTTGACGCCAAACTGGCTCGATTCACTACCAAGTCGATAACGAGCAAATCAGTCCGACTCCGATACCGGGACGAGGACGGAGACTTTGTGACCATTGACAGCGACGAAGCGGTTCAGTTGGCATTCTTGGAATGGCGGGAGCAGCAGCGTGATATGCTCGCCCGGGGCCAAGTGGGGGAGATCCAACTGTACTGCCAGGCAGTCGAGACCTAGGTGTGCCAGAGCTGCAACAGAGCCGCAGCAATGTCAGACGCTTTGGCATGGCCAGCTTCCCCTTCACCGCTCTTTGTCTTTCTTGCTTTGTTCTTCATTTATTCCCCCTTCTCGCCTCTGTTCGTCTTGTGTTTCTCACTTACTGCCAATACCACCTATATTGTATGAGTTGGAAAGAGAAGAGACACCGATTGCCAAAACCATTCGCCGGTGCTGTCTCCTGGTTGCCTTCCGACCCTCGTTGTTCACTGGATTGGCCTTGAGGCTCTGGGAAGTCTCTGATTCTTGCATGCCATGCGCCTTTGCAGGGATCATGTCCTTGGCTAGGTTGCTGCTCTGCTTGTTCCATCGCATGGAGTCGTGTCTTAGGAATTGTGCTGGATCATATCATGTCGATTTACTGGGAATGTCTTTTCTGCGGCAATGTTGATGACTGTTTGATCTGATCTACATGACTGCATGATGTATGTATACTGCTATTTCTTTTCACGCATACTGGCTTGCGGGTTGGAAAGACGAGTTGTACAGTGTTCCTGCATTTTCATTTGAAGCTTGCCTGTTGTGTTTTGGTTGCGTTGGGTCGTGTCTGACAGCGGGTTGGATACGACGGTTGGGAAATATGGCCGGAGTGCCTCAATCGTAATGAAATAGACTTGTTTCCTCCCTTCTTTCTTAATTGAATAGAGTGTACAAATTTAGCGTAGGGCCTGCCACTTTGTGTGACTGTTGAGTGAGGCTTGGGCAGGGAGGGGCAGGTCTATCAGAGAAGAGGGGCAAACAACAGGATGCAATGAGACTTGTCCAAAAGCCACACACCTCTCTCTCTCTCCTGAAATTCTTCTCCCCTTGGTTGTTCGAATTTAATATACGGGTTGTGTCTGTCTCTCTTCCAGGGCTGAAGGTTGCACAAGAACCGGGAATTCGGGTCCCATCCGAGTGTTCCACTTTTTATTCCACTCTTTTCCCATTCCATCATCCACCCGTCGATCGGGACGGAAATCGATGCGGTCTGGACGGGAGGATTTCGAAAGAAAAGGAGGATTGGATGATTTGTCGTGTTCTTGTATGCTACTATGCATAGTGACAACTTGGTAGTGAGGCATTTATCATGTTTCAAAACCCAACAGGTGCGCACGACCTCCTGAGCGAGTTCCCCCGACCATGCGGGATTATCCGAGTCTCTGTATCGATTCAGGGGGGAGGGAGGATGCTTGACGTGAATGAGTTTTGAGGGATTGACCGTCTCGAGGAGTCGGACTGCCAATAGTATGACGGCATCCGACGTCGGAAAAGGATGATGATGTGGAGGATGCTGACTAGTTCATGGCGGTGGACTGTGGACTAGTCACTAAACTAGTTGCTGCTTATGGCTTTCATGATGCTGATGGTTGGTGGGGATTGACTGAAAGGAAGTCTGAAAGAGTGCCTGGTTGTAGTTACTAGTAGAAAGTTGGATCTCCAACTCCAGTTGGAGGCCTTTCCCTTCCCTTCCCCTTCCCTTCCCTCGAGTTTGTCTCTGCCTCGTCGACCCAAATAACTCAGGCCGCCTTTTTTTCTTTTTATTTTTTTTCTCTCATCTCCTGCATTTCCATTAACAAATTGTTTCTATTCTTGCCTTATATTATATTATCATTCCCTCCCCTCCACCTCTTGTTCGTCTCATTCCTCTTCTTTATCTTCTTCTCATCGTCTCTGACATTGTCTAGGACTTCCAAGGCAACCAAGCAGACTGGTGCTTTGATTCTTTTCCTACTTACACTTTTGTTGCTCTCTGACATCGAAGGTCGAGAAATCGCCACCGACTTTTTTTCCTTGCGACCCCTGTACTGTACATTTAGTGCGTACATATAGTCGATAACGCTAGGCCCCTCTCCTGCCAAGCAGTCCATCATGTCTTTCTCCGGCCGTCGCGTCAGCATCTTGCGCCCGGGAAACCGTCGGTTTTCTCTGGGCAAGGAATTGTCCGAGAACGGTACGTCACATTGATTTTGATTGTTGTTCTCCCCCCTTTACTCTGTGCCTCGGAATGGTGGAGTCTATAGAGCGGCGATTGTGCCGCATCTCGGACTTGGAACCAGATGAGAGGGGAATGACACATCGGTGTTAGCGGGGCAATGTCGACGACAAAGGCTATTCTTCTAAGGAACAATGGTCTTTTAAGCTATTTATTACGTGCATGCCATCTGACGGATCTCGCCCTTGCAGAACTCCGATCGGAAACCCACCGGCAATTCCGCAGCGCCCATGAGGGTCACCGTCCCCATGCCGGTCTCGATGCCTCTCGTGCCTCCACGGGTGTCGTCTGGTGCACAGAACGTGCCACTGAGCACGGTTACGCAGAGGATCCCTCTGCCTGGGCGAACCTGGGCCAGGGTGCCCCCGAGGCCGACGATGAGATCGAAGGCAGTTTCCCCCGTCCTACGAGCATCCCCATCACCTCCGCCGCCCGCGAATACGGCCCGACCGCCGGTATCAAGCCTCTGCGCGCCGCCGTCGCCCGGTTGTACAACGAACACTACCGTCAGGGCAAGGAGAGCCAGTACACTTGGGAGAACGTCTGCATTGTCCCCGGTGGCCGTGCTGGGTTGATCCGTATCGCTGCCATCCTGGGCAACTCCTACCTGTCTTTCCCTATCCCCGATTACTCCGCCTACTCGGAGATGTTGACCTTGTTCAAGAACGTAAGTGTGCGACACGGCTCCGGCTCGTCAACAGCGATCAGCCAGTGGCGTTGTTAGATTCTGACAAATGTGCTATTTAGATCGCGCCTATCCCCATTCCTCTTGCCCAGGATGACCACTACCACATTCACCCCGACAAGATTGCCGAGGAGATCGCCCGTGGTACCTCCGTTCTCTTGACCTCCAACCCCCGCAACCCCACCGGTCACTTTGTTGACAACGAGGAGCTCGCTCGCATTCAAGACATTTGCAGAGATCGCGCGACACTGATCCTCGATGAGTTCTACGGTGGTTACAACTATACCACGGACTGTGATGGAACCACGATCAGCGGTGCTGAGCACGTGGTGGACGTTAACCAAGATGGTTCGCTAGCTGACCCCTCCTGAACTCTTGGCATGCTTTCGATGCTGACTATGACAGATGTGCTCCTGATTGACGGTCTCACCAAGCGTTTCCGTCTCCCGGGATGGCGTATTGCCTGGGTTGTTGGCCCCAAGGAGTTTGTGGATGCTCTGGGCTCTGCCGGTTCCTACTTGGACGGTGGTGCCAACGTGCCCTTCCAGGAGGCCGCCATTCCCATGCTCGAGCCCGACTTGGTGAGAGCCGAGATGAAGGCGCTGCAATCCCACTTCCGCGAAAAGAGAGATTTCGTTCTTAAGCGCCTGCACGAGATCGGCTTCCGCGTGAAGGATGTCCCGCAGGCCACATTCTACATCTGGCTCGATCTCACCTCTCTGGAGCCTCCTCTCCCCAAGGAGGCTAACATTTCCGACGGGTTGAACTTCTTCAATGCCCTTCTGACTGAGAAGGTCATTGTGGTTCCCGGTATCTTCTTCGACCTGAACCCCGCCAAGAGACGTGATCTCTTCGACAGTCCTTGCCACCACTTCGTTCGTCTGAGCTACGGCCCCAAGATGGATGTCCTGAAGATGGGTCTGGATGGTATTGAGCGGGTCATCCGCCGCGCTCGCGCTCAGTTCGAGCCCAAGCCGGAGGACGAGGTCGCCGTGGAGGATGATTGAGGGGCTTGCATAGATTTGGACCGTTCAGCGTTATGTGATTTGTAGAGCAATAGATTGCATGGGAGGTAGATGAATATATACACATTGTTAATGCCATCGTCTGCTCACCAAGCGCCTGCAACTGCCGTAGGGGTTAGGTTATTTAGTGATGTGTAGTTAGTGATATTTGGTGAGGGTTAGTAATGTTTAGTTCGTTAACTATAACTACCTGGTATCTATCTACGAATCACGTGACCCGAACCTCCTTTACCCGGTCGGGGCCCCTTCCGGAATCCGCATCCCTGACATCCTCCCAGCCAGCTCGTGCCTGTAACTCGAGCGGCGCAGGGGCTGACAATGCGCGATATGATGTGTGCGCGATTATGGCCCTCAACCTCCAGCGCTTCCTCAACTTGACATTCTTTATCTTCCTTTCGGTGATCCTCTTCTTTCTGATCATCCTGACTCCCGCCGACGCCATCTACCAGTGCTACATCACCCGCCGCCTCACGAACATCTTTATCATCACGGGCGGCTACGTCGTTACATTCATTCTCGCCATCCTCATATACGCGACCCGTCTCTATACCAACCGTACCGTTCTATCCGGCATTCCCAAGGCCTGGATCCCCGTGGAGAAGGAAGATGTGGGCAAGAGCGTGCGACGACTGGTGAAGGAGGGCCTAGCCCACAGCGCGATCATCGCCTACCAAGCCCGCCCGCGGGACCTGGCCGCCGACGGGGATGCCTTCGCCAACTACGAGTCGCTGCTGATCGACCGCGACCACCCACCCTGGGGTCCCATCGAACACCCTGGCTGGTCGTCGCCCTCGTGCGCGGATCTGCCGGACCTCCCGTACCGGACCGTGATCCAGGAACTGCCTCACCTGATCGAAGCCAAAGCCGTCTCCCTCGCTCCCCCCGACCCAATCTTCGCCGGGGTGCATCAGTCCCTCCGCGCGCCGTTCTCCGACGCCGATGAGTCGTTCCCGGACACCCGGGTGGTGGAAGTCCTGCGGCGACCGGTCTCCATGGGCCTGCGCGCGTACCTGCAGCACCTCGCGTCGCTGGATGTCGTCCGACCGCCGGAGGTGGGCGCGGAGTTCATCGCGCGCTACGAACGGGCGCGCTTCTCGTCGCGGGATCTCCACGAGAACGAGTTCCGGGAGCTGATGCACGTCTTTGCGGAGCTGCTACGGGGCATGACGGGGCTGGATCCGCGGGTGCTGGCTGAGCTGCAGGCGGCGGAGGAGGAGGACGGAGCCAGCAGTCAGACGGAGAGCGAGTCCATCATCGGGCCCTCGGACGAGGAAGGGGAGACGGAGACCATCGATTCGTTTCAGGATAGTGAGGGAGTGTTGTCCCGCGGGCGCAGCAACAGCCTGCGGCCGTCGAATGCCTCGTCCTGGGATGCCCGGTCCGCCGCCAGACAGCACGGGCGCTGGTCGCCTGTCTGGTCGCGGCGGCCGACTACGCGTGGTCGGGCCATGGAGCCGCCGCGGACGCCATCGATGCGCTCGCTTAGGCGACTGCCGTCCAACAGCTCTGGTGGCAGCGTCATTCATTTGGTTGAAGCCCGGGGACCGTCGGATCTGCCGTATGCCTTTAATTTTGGAGGGTCGAGGGAACGCCTTTAATCCCGAGTTCCGAGCCCCTCTGCTAGTGGTGGGGGGAAAGGAAGCTAGTTTAGATTTGATCATTAAATCCGAGGAGTAACGCAATTCATTAGTTTCGTCATACTCTCGTTGGTCTTGTTCAATGTCTAGGTCGGGATGGTCTCCCCCACTTCTTCCGAGCAGCTCGGCTTTTCGGGCTCAAGGCACGTGATGTCCACCAATCGGCGCATCGGCAAGCGAATCTTAGTCAATTATTCCATCATCAGTGTTTGTGGCTTGGCAGAGTGATTGATAAGATCTGACGTTTCCCCTCCTTCTTGATAGCTAGAATTTCTGTCCCGCGCAGCTTCCAAAACTCCTACCCTCCCCCGGTCCCTCCCACAAACACCCAAAACCATGCAATCATTCATCCAACGAGGCGCAGCCTTCTTCACGCCAAGTCGCTCGGCCACCCCGGCAGACAGTCCCAAAGCCAGCGACGAGAATGCCGCCGCCGCCGCCGCCGCCGAAGAAGTCCAGCCCGCCGAGACGCTATTCCCCAAGGTCGACCCAGCCATAGACGGCGAGGAGTGCCTGCACGACTGCGCCTCCTGCACAGTGAAGTACCCAGCCAAGTTCGACGTGGACCAGGATGACAACATGTACGGGAACATCAGCGAGTGGGCGACGCACGTGCTCGTCGCGACAGGCAAGACGGACTGGGTGCGCGACGTGGCAGACGAGCCGGGGAGCGTGATGGAGGCGATCGAGAAGGGGGGGCTTGTTCCGAGCAATGGGGTGCGTCAGCCTCTTTTTTTTTTCCCACTGACGCAAAAGATTGCGCCTACTCTCCCGCACGCAATCCATCGAACCCAACTAACTAATTTTCCCATCATGGACTAGAAACTCAAACTCTCCGCCTCCAACATGCCCGTCCCGGACGAATACCACTACCACGAACCGGGCCAGCAGCCCACCACCGTCCTCTGCCTGCCGAGCTTCACCCTCATCGACCACGTCACGCCCGCCCTGGCGCCAGATCTGATCAATTACTTCGTCAGCCGCGGCCCGACCACCACCACCCCGCTGACGGGGACCGGCACCAGCACCGGCACCAGCACCAGCACTACCGCCCCCGACCTCGAGGAGACAGATCTCTCGGCCCTGACCCCGCTCCGCGCCCGCCCCTGCCCCCACTCCGCCATCATCCTCCTCTGCTCGCACCGCACCCGCGACGCCCGCTGCGGCCAGTCCGCCCCGCTCCTGCGCAAGGAGTTCGAGCGCCACCTGCGCCACCTGAATCTGTACCGCGACCTGGACGACGAGCGGCCCGGCGGCGTGGGAATCTACTTCATCAACCACGTCGGCGGGCACAAGTACGCCGCCAATGTGATTGTCTATCGGCGCAGGGAGTCGGGGTGGAACGGATCTTCTGCTGGCACTGGCGCACCCGGTGCCACTGCCGACGCGGCAGCCGAAGGCGCAGCCCAGGGGATCTGGCTGGCCCGAGTGAAGCCGCAGGACTGCGAGAATATCATCCGGTACACCGTGTTGCAGGGGAAGGTGGTCAAGCCGGCGGAGCAGTTGCGGGGCGGGTTTGATCGGGGGACGGGGAGGACGAGTTGGTAGTTTTGTCTTGCCATTGCCCTTTCATGCGGGGAAGGAGGGTCGTTGTTTACTTTCTTGTTGTTTTGGTGTGGGGTTATGAGGGTCGGTTTTGTGGAATGGTTGGGTTGCATATATACATACATACTTTATACACATTTTCATATCTATATGGATCTGGATCTTGAATGTGGGATCTGGGTACAGGTAGAGAGGGGTTGGTGGGGTTAGCAAAGGGGGGAGGGAATGGATGGGATTGGAATATTGAAGATGGAAGTGTAGATGTACAGATGGTCATTCTGGTAGATCCATATGGGCGTATGCCAGGGGACAACAGATAGGGCGAGATGGTTGAGGGGATTGCGCTGAGCACCATACCATTGTTCTGAAATCGGTCAGAATGCACGACACTACTACTGCGGATGAAGATTTCAACCCCAAGGCTGATTTCTTTCTTCGCCGCTGATGTCCAAGTCTCATCTCCTAAAAAAATGGACCGCATGACCGCAGCTGTGAGACTAGCTTACCAACCTAATCCTACAGATAGATATCCCTGCCGCACCCGAACCTAACCCAGCAACAGCGCCAATTCTCATCTTTCCTCTTTTCGGTACATCCAAAGTAGCAGGGCTATGATTAAATGTGTATTGCTAGTGATCTGCTCTACAAACATCTCGCTTTGCGTGTTCGGTACTCATGCAAATTTTGATACATGTATGTACACATGTTACGCACAAAAAGGTTCCATGGTAACCCCCTTGGCGCCAGATGACGCCCTATACCATCATCTGTCGTAAGAAACACCGCCCTCAAGCTTGCTACATACATGTTAACATCGGATAGACCGATTCACTCATGAAAGAAGGGGTAGCAGAAACCAAATATACCCAAGTCTGGAAAACAATACAAGATAAGAACAAAGTAGAACCGGAATGGGATGCAGAGCAAAAGAAATCTGGGTAAAATGGCGGTGACATCAATCGATCATGTTCCGTGGTAGATCGAATTCGGGAATGTAGTGAAGATGATGGTGCAAAGGCTATCGGGCTCTGCTGATAAGCCTCCACAACGATAAGGTTCAAAGGGGAGAGAGAGGAGAGGACATAGGTCGAAGGTCAAGGTCAAAAAAGAAGTCAGGAATAGCGGCTCGCGCTTCATTCATTGGCGGAATTCGTGGCTACTGGGGGTATGTCCTCGGGGTTCGGCGAGGGCAACTTGGCAGCCCGCAAAACCTCGGGCAACTTGATGGGAGCGGCCGGCGCTGTTTCCAGCTTGTCGAGCTTCTCCCCCCGCAGAACCTTCTCCATCTCTTCCTTGGTCAGGGTCTCGTACTTGATCAGAGCCTGGGTCAGCAGTTCGAGCTCCTTGTGCTTCTCGGTCAGAATGTTGGTGGCGCGAACGCGAGCCTCCTCGACGATGCGTCGAACCTCGGCTTCGATTTCTTGTTTCGTTTCCGAGGACAGGCTGCTGTAGTTGGACATCAAGTCGACATTTCCAAGTTTCTTGGAGTACCCAAATTGAGTGACGAGAGCAAAAGCGGTTTTGGTGGCTGCTTCAATATCCTGCAACTTGTCAGCAAAGACTCCCTCCATGAAGAAAGGTAGAAGGTCAAACTTACAGCCGAGATACCACTGGTGACCTTATCAGGACCAAATATGAGCTCCTCCGCAGCTTTGCCACCCATGGCGACATCAATATCCGACAGATACTGGGTGTAATCCTTGGAAACCATGTCCATCTCAGGCAGGAAATGTGTGATACCCAACGCCATTCCGCGGGGCACGATAGTGATCTTATAGAGCGGCATGGAGGATTTCGAGAAGTAAGCAACGAGAGCGTGGCCGGCCTCGTGGTAAGCAGTCAGAAGCTTGTCCTTATCCTGGATCACCCGGCTGCGAGCCTCCGCGCCCATTATGATCTTGTCCTTGGCATAGTCGAAATCCTTGGGTCCGACCTTGGTCTTCTTGTTCCTGCTGGCATAAATAGCGGCCTGGTTGACAAGATTCTCAAGGTCAGCACCCGAGAACCCAGAAGTGCCACGAGCAATGACCTCCACATCAACATCAGTGCCGATTTGCACGCTCTTCATGTGGTGGTTCAGAATCTCCATACGACCGCGAACGTCTGGAAGACCGACAACTACCTTCCGATCAAAACGACCAGGGCGCGTGAGGGCCTTATCAAGCAGCTGAGGATAGTTGGTCGCTGCGATGATGATCACTCCGCTGCTCTGACTGAATCCATCGAGCTCGGTAAGCAGCTGATTCAAAGTCTGCTTCACATACGCGGCATCCCTTTCGTTTCTCTTTGCACCAATGGCGTCCAACTCGTCGATAAAAATAATGGCAGGGGATTTGCTGCGGGCTTGAGTGAACAGATCCCGAACACGCTTGGCGCCGACACCAACGTAGACTTCGTCGAATTCCGACCCAGACATGAAGAAGAAAGGAACACCGGCTTCACCTGCCACAGCACGCGCGAGTAGAGTCTTGCCAGTACCAGGGGGACCGACCAGAAGGACACCCTTCGGCAATTTGCCACCGAGCGAGGAAAACCGTTCGGGATTGATCAAGAATTCAACAAGTTCCTGCAACTCGTCCTTGGCCTCGTCGCATCCATGAACGTCGCTGAAGCGCACGGTCTGGTGTTCGGGTTGAGCTTCGTTGTTCTGCGGGCCCTTGACGTTTCGCAAAACACCAGAGGTCTCAAGAACGACAGCGAGAATCACCCAAGACAGGTATGCGATGAACGCCATCGTGATAAAGAATCTCACCCAGCGGAAAATAGTGCTTCCCCTTGACTCTTCGACCACGACGTACAGAGGAGCTTCTTTAGCTCCAGTGCCGGTTTGGCCGGGTGCCGCGTGTACTTTGCCATGAATACCTTTAGCACCAACGGCCTGACCAATAGCTTGTATTTGCTCGGGCTTAAGTTGATGAAGCAGGTCAGGATTGGACTGTTGGTTGGCGCCTAAGAAAGACGTTGAGCCATCTATCCCATTGACCCGTTGCAAAGCCTTGTGATAGATCGCCTCAGTGGCCGCGTTACTAGCAAAGTACCCGGATCTGTACCGTTCAAGGATAATGGCTGGATGGTTCGCGCGCAGAAGAGCCTGGTAGAAGGCATTTTGAGCGTTCGCGCTACTGGGGTTGTTGTTCGCGGTTTTCTCCCTCTGCGCTAGTAAGGCCTGAGACGGACCCCCAAAGAGGTACCGCTGTTGTTGGAGACGTGAGAGTCCATGTAGGTGCGGGGCGTGGCGGATGCGGTTCGGATTTGCGGTCAGCGTGGAGAAAAGACGAGAGGCGGGTGTGGCAAGACGACGGCTAGTGGTCGATGGCGGAGCCCAAAGAGTGGTCGCTAGAAAATGAAAGTGAAGTTAGTCTGTGGCTGAGAATGCGATATGAATTTGTGGCGATTTACCAGCGAACAGGGAGCGAGTCATTCCAGATGCCGCCGGCTTGTACATGACAGCCGATCTAAGAGCCTCGGAGGATACTGTGGTCAGACATTCGGGGAGCGTGATTTGGCGAGTTTCCTGGGGAGGATATCTATGAGTACGCAATTTCTCAGACGCCCGCGATGGATGGATATAAGGACATACAATCGAACTGGTTTCGTGGCCGGTACGTTTCAGCTGAGGGGCGGAGGCGGAGGCGGAGTGCTCGATCAGTTTCCAGGGCGCATTCAGT